TGCAATCCATGGGAAACGAGGAAAGCCGCATGTTTTCCAGGAAAGGTGTTGCACGCTGGGATATCCCACCTGGACCCGGATTTCCCCTTGTTAAAAACATTTCACGTAAACAAGTCCCTACACGACGTCACATGCGTGGGTTAAGGTCACCAACAGCTCACCACAATAGGTGTAGTGTCACCAATAGCTCACCACACCGGGTGTGTCGCCAACAGCTCCCCACAATGGGTGTTTGTCACCAATTGCTCACCACACTGGGTAGGTCACCAACAGCTCACCACAATAGGTGTAGTGTCACCAATAGCTCACCACACCGGGTGTGTCACCAACAGCTCCCCACAATGGGTGTTTGTCACCAATTGCTCACCACACTGCTAGGTCACCAACAGCTCACCACACTGGGTAGGTCACCAACAGCTCACCACACTGGGTGTGTCACCAACAGCTCACCACACTGGGTAGGTCACCAACTGCTCACCACACTGGGTATTTCAATACAAATATACAGTTAAATTATGTAAAATAGAATAGTCAATGGGTAGAGAGGAGGCATGTGGAAGTTAACCCAGACATCTTGAATATGGAGCCCAGTCTTGGCTGAGTCTACCCAGCTCTAATCGGTACCTGACTTCAGTTGGGAAATGTAAAAGCTGTTCGACGTAACGCTGAACACACAATCTCTTCAAATACCGAGGTAAAAGAGAGGAAATCTACTTCATCTACTCGATTGACCATCGTTTACTAACGACCTTTTGTCTGTCAGTGTAGTTATATTAGATATACTATTAGCCATTATTATATCTCAATGGCTGTAAGCTCTTTTATGATCGTCGGCGTTTGGCAAATCAGCCTTTGTCTGTCGGAATTTTCCCAAACACCAGTTCACATACAAGCGGTTTTTATGTGATCTATGTGGGGGTTTATAAACACATTTTATAAAAGAAACACAAACCATTTTAATATAATTATAGTAAACAAAAAAACTTTACAAAGGCTGCATTATTTGTATTTTAAACATAAGTTGAATTATGTAATGTATGTAATGGTAGACTCTATATACTTTTTTCTCTTAAGTTTGTAGTCTACTTAACAACTTAATAGATCCGATTTTACTGACACAAGAAATAAAAAGAATAATTAAAAACAAACAAACGCAAATGTGGTCTGTCACACACCCTCATTACATTAAAGACGACGGCTATTACAATTTAACACGAAAACAACAATACATAATCTTTCGACTTAGAACAGGCCACAACAGACTAAATCAACACATGCACAAAAAACTGAAGGTTGGGTGTAGCGAAATGTTCCCTTGTGGCAAGGCCCCCGAAAACACGGAGCACGTACTCCAGGAATGTACTCTGTATAGCCAGGCAAGAGTCAGACACTGGCCCCAGCCCACCCCACTCAGGGAAAAATTATATGGGACACCTGACAAACTGGAAACCACAGTCCGGTTTGTCCACGAAGTTGGACTTGTTGTCTGAATCCTGCACAATATTCAAAAATTAAGAACGAAGAAGAAGACTGACACATCCACCATGCAAACAAAATTGTGTGACATTTTGTGACTTTTCTCCCCAACCAAGCAGGCAAAATTGAGTGACATCTTGTGACTTTTCTCCCCAACCAAGCAGACAAAATTGTGTGACATTTTGTGACTTTTCTCCCCAGCCATCGTACGTCACAAGTCGGCTACCATGGCACACCATTGTGAATCAATGCGCACTTTTATCCTCCCGTAGTGTCCATCAATAGTTAAAGCCGGTTTAAACAGGTGTTTGGCAATACTGTATCCCCCCCCCCCCCCCCAGGTAAGCCGGTTTAAACAGGTGTTTGGCAATACTGTATCCCCCCACACACACCTTCAATAGACTTGACCATATCAGACACACCATTGTCCATACGTCGGATACCTTTATTTATTTAACCACCCGCCCGACTGGCCTTCGTTTACCAACAACCCGGTTCTAACTGGTTCATGTCATGATGGGTCACGTTTGACAATGGAAGCCTACCCCCCCCCCCTCTACCCCCTTACCTGGACCCCCATTACCTGGACATTTACCGTAAACACTTACAGGCCATGTCATCATCTTTTGTTTCCCCCCCCCCCCACTCCTGACCCCGTGTGACGTAGAGGTTGCATCATCCCCGACACAAGTGGGCGGAGTCGAGCTGAGTCAATCGATTTCAGCGTTGGGTTGGGCCAGGGTTGTTAGGTTTGAGTACCCAGGCTACACGAGGTAAATAGAAATATTTGTAAACAAGTTGAGAAAATCAATTTGCCTAAGGCCGGAAAGCATTAGAGGAATACCACGTAGTAGACCACCAGAAGACCAATTAAAGTATTTGCTATTGTACGAGCAAGTTTCGCCGAGGCCTGACATCCGGACTCAACATTATTCGTCTTCAGTTATTTAATTTAATTAATTTAAAATAAAACAACTCCATATCATAGCTCTGTCCCGCCCCCATATTATACCCCTTCCCCAAGACATACGGTATCTTCCTAGCTTCGCATCTTTGTTCGTCTGAAATATTCAGCAAAATGTATTCTATGTAAGACATGCACAAAAAAAGGAACAGTTCAGTCCCGAGAAATATAAAGGTTATAAAGTAAACTGTTCCTCTAAAGTACTCTAAGTATTCGCGGGTTGCGAGCTATGTTGAGATTAAGGACACACCAGTATAATGTTTCTTCTGATTCATAACCCAGCCAATTTTTTTTGGTAACATATTGAACATATTGCTTATGTAAATTGAGACTTTATGGTATCCATTATCATAGTTTCTAAGTAGACCTAAAGCTATGAAAACCCGTGTTGAACCGTTTTCACCAAAGAAGTATTGAACACAGTTGTTAATGGTTTGACAAACGTCTATACCACATCCTTTATACTTTATTAATGTCAGGTCAATCTTTAAGTTACGGAAACTAGCCCTGAACATAGGCATGTAGTATAAACAGCAACACCAACACGCCTGGAATATATTTCTCTTCTCATAGTTGCTCTAAATGTTAATGGCGAATGTCTTAGAAATAAACCGATCAGTTGCCCCGCATAATGAACTAGTTTATGTGAAGCAAAAAAAATGCGGACAGCACAACACAATGTTTTCAACGAATGGAATAAAGTAAGTTGTGGAAAAACGCGAACACCATCTACTTCAAAAGTGGTTGATTGCCAGTCAAGCAAGCGATGTAACCTTGATGTCGGTCAGGTTTTAAGGATTACTTCATGTTTTTCCGTTGTTACGTCTGCTTTCAGTTCCAGCTCGCTGCGGATAAGGTGACAGTAGGAAAGCGGTTGACACTGGTTCAAAGTCCATGCTTAGAATACATCTTGACCTCAATTCTGCATATTTATAAGTTTATTTATACGAACCAATCAGCATCGCGTATTTAGTAAAAATCGCTCCGCGGGTAGGTGTCACGTGATAAATGCGCGTGTGCCGGTGATATTTTCCTATAAATACAGTGGTTAAAATGAGTTAACTTCACAATATGAAACAACACCTATTGCGAATAATTAACTCATTGTCGAGTTCGACACCTTACTCCTTTACTTACACACAATGCCGGAAACTAACGAGGTTGAAAACAGGAATATGGAGGAAGAGTAAGTTGTTTTTTTCTTCATGTAGATTCCTTAAAAATTATTAAAGTTAAAAGTAGGCCATTGCTTTAACATGTAATTATTTGCATTGTTCTTATTTTAGTTTTAAAAAAATCTTGTTAACGAGAAAAAAAACGTAGGCCTATTTTTCTGCTTAATTATAATATTGAAAAATAATTATCTTATTCTTCTAATGATCACAATGTAAAACTAAAAAGAATTAGCCAATGTAATTTTAATTTTAATTGTATATGCGTTTAATACAGACTAGCGCTTTAAAATTTGTTATCCGACTTAGATCACATATACAACATTTCAACAAATATTCATTTAAAAATGGAATGCTCAACAAAATGTAACGAAATATGACTGGGCATATAGCATATCTTTCCCTTTATTGATCTATTACTCTTTTGCTCAATAATTAAAAACAAAATTCAGACTGATTGTATAGTAAAGTAAATTTAGTGAAAAGGTAGTTGGACAAACTTATACGATAGTTGGTGACGTTAACAGTGTATTAAATTGCAGCAAATAACTTTAATATGTGATTTTAATCGAATATGACATATCAGTACAAAAATCTGACAGTTACAAGACCAATAATCGTTAAAATACTGCGTATTTCGTTTAACAACTGTTTTAAATCGGTTATCGAACTTGGACCGCGATGTATCGCAAAAGCATAGTTTTTTTAATACTTAAAAGTAGTTGTAAAAAGATCTTTTTAACGATGTTTTGAAATATAATTAATGAGCATATAGGTCTATTAAAGTATGTTGTTTAACTTTTGATGTGTCTTTACAACGCTTCACTTTATTATATTTTTAAAACGCATTTTAAATTTTATAAAATACGTACGCCTATTTGTTTTTCTAATTAGATTTTTTGCAAGTTTGAAAAATTTTCTTTACAAAACAGTAATTAAAAATGTATTACCGCGTCAAATGTTCTTTATTTTAAATAGAGCTAATTATGATTTAATTTAAAACGTAATGCAAGCCGTGTCTCAGAGATAAGGATACGTGATTGTAATCGGGACATGGTCAATTAAACCGGCAACTTTCCGAGTTAGTTAATGCAGTTTATAGCCGATATTATCTCATGGATAAAAATAAAATTATCTTTTTAAAAAGGGACCTGAATGACTCTCCGGAGATAAGTTACTTCTGCACGAATCTCGATAAAATGTTACCGGGGAAATCTCTCAGCTGATGAAGTGCGCAAGACGCACAGCGGCTGACCTGACCTAGATTCGCCAACCAATAGGATAATGTCCTATACGATCGTTAGTTTAGCGGCGGATAAGTCCGCATTGCAAAAAATATATAATGTCCTTCAAATCTGGGTCCTTATCAGTGTAGAATCGTACTTTTATAAATAGCTTCAAAATAATGTATTGTTTCACTGCGTTGTCAAAAAGTTATATGCTTACTTGTTTATTCTGAATCATTATTCAGCATAGTCACTGACTGTAGTGGTAGTGTTAGCAGTGTTCGGCTAGATTTAAGCACCGCCTACTCAGTCTGCTCGTGAACAAGCGATTCGCGCGGAGTTGGGGATTTTTTAAAACCCCTTTGTCATCCATTACTAAACTAGTTGAGACTAGTGTCGAGTTAGTAAACGTGTCAACAAAATAGAAAATGAAATTGCTCTGGCTTTCACGGGTTGCAAGGTAAATAATTAGATATTAATAAAAACAAAATAATCTAAATCTTTTAATTGACAATTTTAACTGATTTAAAATTTTAGATTCTTAAATTAGTTTTTACTCGTCAACACTTGGTCCTAGATACAACTTTATTTAATTTTCTGTTGCCACGCCTCCGTAACCGGTGTATTGGATATTATGTTCTTTCACATTTCGTACACAAAACATCATAATTATTTTGAATAAAAGAACGAATAAAATATACAAGATATGATTATAATTTGCCTTGGAAATTCTAGAATAAGTTTTTTTAAACGTTTTATTCTTCTATCGCCTTAATTTCTAGTTAGGGCCTACATTTTAATTTTTATTTAAAGTTACTCCAACTAGATTCTAGATCTATTTGTGTGCTGATTATTAGTAGTATTATAGTATTGTCTGCATGCCTTGTCGCGCCGTTACTTGGCCTGACGGCGGTAGAAATCTAGCAGATCTATCTAGTCTAGATCTAGATCTAGTTGGATAGGCCTAACCAGTTGGATCTGGTATGCCTCCCACAATTATTAAGACCTGTCTCCTTTAGTTCTGTACACTGGCCCATTTATCAGACTTTTATACATGTTATAGGCCTGGCAATAAATATAGCAAAGCAACTAGTGTAGTGGGCTCCTAATGACATTTACTGGTATCTATTTTAGTTGTTGACAAGCCAAGTTAGTAATATTTTATTTTATTGGATATTGTTAGATTAATTAGGTTAACTTAATCAATGTCGTGTGTTCAGGGAGATTTTGTGTTGACATCTGTGTAAATATGCCGGGCGGTTATATTTTTATTTTATGACAGCTAAATATTAGGCGTTTATTAAGTTTAATAGTTAAATAATAGACCAAGATATAAATCTTCATAAGTTTGTATTAAAAAAATCCTATATTTTATGAATTCACGATGGTTTGAATTACGTGGCCAATACACGTGTTGTATCGCAGTCTGTTACACCCAATCAAGCTGTGTTCAGATTTTTTATCCACTCTACTAAGTCTAAGAAAAACTGGGGCTTATCTATTGATTTTACCTTTGACCCCGTAAGGTCACGTTGACTGAGTTTTGCTAACCCTTAGAAAAAAGCAACTAAAAAATCTACGCCAGCCTGAATTTAGATCCCAGATCTAGATCTATAATCTAGATCTAGATATCTAGTAGTTTTCAAGTTTATTTTTATTTTAGTATTTTAGGTTGCGTTACATTTCATTAAACTTAATTGAAAAAGGCCATTGCTATGCAATCGGTAACTATAATCGTCGCGTAAGGAAAATACATCACCGTTTTTTTTCCTATTTCTATTTATAAACTGTAAACTTTTATATTACTTCAGAGTTACCTCCCGAATTCTGAAAAACTCAGATCCTCTCAGGAGACAGAATCTCAACCCAGCCGCCACATTCTCATCTACCAACTCACTTTTGGAACCCACACGCGATTTCCGTGTCATCTACGGTGACATCAACGACCTCCCCAACAAAGTTCGTCACTATGTGGAGGAAAACGTCCGTCTCTGTAAGCCGGACACTGTCCACATCTGTGATGGCTCAGAGCGAGAGAATGAGCTGCTGACTTACATTCTCCAGAAAGATGGAATCATCAAAAAGTTACCCAAGTACAACAATTGGTAAGCTTTTCAATCATAATTCAATAATTCTGTTTTATGTTGTCTACTTGCTACTTGCTGTTCTACTTGAAGATTTTATACATATAATACTCATTTAGCTAAAAAGATGATCATTCATTTTTATTCTGATTAGCAATTTTAAAAACACCCATGTGCCTATCAAATTTTATGTTACTAATTTAAAAAATTCATTTTTAATTTTCTTAGCTGGTTGGCGAAAACTGACCCAGCAGATGTTGCTCGCGTTGAAAGGTTAACCTACATATCAACTGAGGTCCAGCGTGACACAGTTCCCTCACCTAAGAATGGTGCCAAAAGCCAACTTGGCAACTGGATGGCACCAGATGATATGGACAATGAATTAAACATGAGATTTCCAGACTGCATGAAAGGTGAATTTCCTGTTTGATTTTATTTGTAAAAAGAAATTTTGCAGCATTTAGTTTTTTAAAAAATGGTAACGTCTATTTTATAAAGTGCCAAATTCAAAATTCCTAACATTATGTTTTTATATTTCCAGGGCGCACAATGTTTGTGATTCCATTCAGCATGGGACCAGTTGGGTCACCCCTCTCAAAGATTGGCATTCAGCTGACAGATTCTGCTTATGTGGTTGCTAGCATGAGGATCATGACCCGTATGGGGAGCAACGTTCTGTCAGCTCTCAACGACAACAATTTCATCAAATGTCTTCATTCTGTTGGCAGGCCTTTGCCTCTTACTTGTAAGCATCAGTGATTTAAATATTACTTAAGCTTTTAAATTATTATTAAAATTCTAACATTAAAAAAAAATCTTAATTGTATAGTAATAATATGCTAACAATAACTTTTATATTTCTAGCACCCCTGCACAACAACTGGCCATGCTATCCCAAAATGACACTGATCGCACACATACCTCAGAGAAATGAGATCTGCTCATTTGGGAGCGGTTATGGTGGGAACTCACTTCTTGGAAAGAAATGCTTTGCCTTGAGATTAGGGTCTATCCTTGGCAACAGAGAGGGCTGGTTAGCTGAACACATGCTGGTAAGTGGACACACATTTTATTCAGTTATTTTTATGCTATCTTAAAATTCGTACTAAAAATGGCTTTTCAAAATCCAAAAATAAATATTTTTTCGGTGAAACTGCATAACAGAAATAGCTTTATTTATAAATTTTGATCTTACTGTTTTACAGATTTTGGGCATTGAGAACAAAACAACCGGAGACAAACGCTACATCGCTGCCGCCTTCCCAAGTGCCTGTGGGAAGACCAACCTGGCCATGATGACCCCCACCCTCAGCAATTACAAGGTCACCTGTGTAGGAGATGACATTGCCTGGATGAGATTTGACGACAAGGGTCACCTGCGTGCCATCAACCCAGAGGCTGGTTTCTTTGGAGTTGCCCCAGGTAGGCTCTTCACTATTTTATACTGTTGGTCTTTAAGTGAAATTATGTTATAGTGCAATTCTTTTTTACAGTAGCTTAAATTATTTCTTGTGTTTTATATAAAATTACTTCAACAAAAAATAATAAATTTTTTTTACAAAATTAATCAGGTACATCAAGAAAAACAAACCCCATCGCCATGGAAACAATCAAATCTAATACCATCTTCACCAATGTGGCTGAGACAAGTGACGGTGGTGTCTTCTGGGAGGGCTTGGAGAAAGAGATTGACACCAACGTTAAGATCCGCTCCTGGCTAGGGGATGAGGACTGGAAGAAGGAAGAAACAGACAGACCAGCTGCCCATGCCAACTCAAGGTTGGTACTGTTGTAAACCTTCCTGGGATTTATTCATGTGCATGGTTGTTATAAAATTAATTATTTAAGTGCATTGTGTTTGGCTTCTTATAATACAAAAATTAAATGTTCTATTAAAGTTTAAACATCCTTGATTTTGTTTTCATTTGAACAGATTCTGTACCCCAGCCGCACAGTGCCCAATCATGGACCCTGCCTGGGAGGACCCAGAAGGTGTTCCTATTGATGCCATCATATTTGGAGGCCGCCGCCCAACTGGGGTCCCTCTAGTGTATGAAGCTTTCAACTGGCAGCATGGTGTCTTTGTTGGCGCCTCAATGAGATCTGAGTCCACAGCAGCTGCTGAACATGTTGGTGAGTCCCTCAATAAAATCTTGTTATCAATTTGTTACACAATTTACTTCGCTTAATCCGGACAGAGGTGTTATGGTTCAGTTAAGTGGCTGGATTGATGTGCAAATTTTCAAAAAAAATGCTCTGTCCAGATTTATAAATGGCCTAATATACTGCTGCTTCATTTAACCAGTATCCCAATTAAATTAAAGATACTGTGTTAAAATATTCAAGTTCTATCTCAATTTTATGTTTTCATTAACTGATGAAGTATTTATACTTAAAAATTAGAAATTTATGTTTATTTTTGTTCTGTTTCTACAGCTAAACAGATCATGCATGATCCCTTTGCCATGCGTCCATTCTTTGGCTACAACTTTGGCGACTACTTAAAACACTGGCTGAGCTTTGGCAAGAAAGATGGTCTGATCCTCCCCAAAATCTTCCACGTCAACTGGTTCAGGAAGGGACCCAACAACAACTTCCTCTGGCCAGGTTTTGGAGACAACGCCAGAGTCTTGGACTGGATCGTGCGCAGGTGTAACAACGAAGACGTCGGCAAGAAAACTGCCATTGGAATGGTGCCCAAGTTTGACTGCTTCAATGTTGATGGCCTGGAAGAGCCTGTAGATCTGGAAGCTCTTTTCAGCCTGCCGAGGGAATTCTGGGAGAACGAGGTCAATGCCATTTACAAGTACTTTGATGAGCAAGTCAATGAGGACCTGCCACCAGAGATTATGGCGGAGCTGCGCAACTTGGAACAGAGGATCCAAAATGAGTTATAAATAGTCTTTCATTAATGGGAATGTTCCATTTTGTTTATACTTTTCCCTTTGAGCATTTTTATTGTTACAGATGTAATTAAAATGAGATTATATGTGGGTTGTTTAATTGAAATGTTATTTTGAAATTATGATTTACACTTGTTATTAAATGTGTATATAGCCTATAAGATTGAATCTTAAACTTGAATAAGTGAAAATGTTTTTTTTTGTTTTGTAAGCTTATTCAAAGTTTTTTATTGTTTGTGTTCAAATGACTCAGGATTAGAATGATAGTTTTTAATAAACTTCCCATTTTAAAAGTACATTTTGTATAAGAATTACTTGGTTGCCAAACTTGTCATGAATAAATGTTAGATATGCGGAGCTCAGGATTAATACATTTTTCTGTACATGTTTGAAACTGTGATAACTAGCTTAGTTGTCTGTTATTGTTTCTATTCCACTTTGTAAAATGGTACCCTGTGCTTAAAATATAGCTTACATTACTCTTAGCTTATGGGTGAATGCTTACTTCAGTTAAGTAATTGCCTGTCTGTATATTTGCTAACTGGAAAAATATTTTTGTAGCTTGATTAATCATTTTGTTTGTATAAAGTGTTACTTCTTTTATATCACATTTTGTATTTTATTTATACATATTTGTAATTGTTTACAAAATAGAATTCCAAGTAAGTTTGATATTTCTTAATAATGAATCAATAAATGAGTGCTCATAAGTCAACAGATATTCTCAGCACTAAGTGCTTTTTGGGAGATTTTTTTTAAACTGCTAAAGCTTAAATAGCTATATTATAGTCAGCTGATTGTTTTAAATGTTTATATTAAACAACCACAGCTAAGCTGATTTTAAAAATTATAGCGCTCAATTCTATTTCTATATAGGTTGTGATAAAAACAGGTGTTTTTTTTTTTTTACTTATTTGTAAAATTAAAGAATGAATGATATTATTGAAACTTTGTGGTACTTAGTAACTCCTAATGGACCACATGGGAGTAGTGTCCCTGTTTATGTCATGTGTAGAGATTTGGGTCAGGCACCTTGTAAATATGTTCCATCCCTGATTCCAGAATGTTCACCGGTATCTTTGCCATAGCTTGTACATAGTAAATACTGTTGTTTCAGCCCTGCCTTATGTACATTTGTTTTAGAGTACTATATCATTTGTTCATACATAGAGGGAAGAAATATGAAAAAAAATCTAAAAGTTTACCCTAAAAAATAATAAAATAAAAATAAAACTTTATCGAATTTGTTATTTTTTCATGTTAAATTAATGAGACTAGATTTTGATTCTACCCCAGCAAGAACAGTCAAATAATAATCATCATACTTGTGGAGCAGAGAAACACAATCATACCTCCATCTTACGAGGTTTTTAGGAAATTGCTCAGGGTTTGTTTCACAGACCACTGATCTATTCAAAGTTGTTTTGACCAACAGACTTCACTTTATCCTTGGGGTATTTTAATCTGGTGATGGAGGTTGTTGTTTTCAGGCCAACTGATGTGTAATATGTGAATTCCTTTACGTAAGTTTTTAGTTTGTTTCAACCCCATCAGAACAACAGAGAAAAGATTTCACGTTGCTGTTAAACAGTCTGATTTAGGAAAGCGTAGATGTGCTCTTGACTTCTAGGTTGTGTGGGGTATGTTGAGACCGTCACTGGCCTTGTTGCTGCGGCTTTTGATGTCCTCATCTGCTGCCCCACCCTTGCTACCTACACTTCATAGATATGTATCGTGAAGCTATTCACCTTCGAAAATAGTCATTTCTTGTATCTTAAGTAGGTTCCTGATTGTTATTAATTGTTAACGCTCACACCTGTTTTTTTTTTAAAGTTAATCTCTAACTTAAAGCCTGTCTTAAGTGCCACTTCGGGGAGTTTGCTTACGGTGTTTCTTCCAGACTTTTTTCTCGGGGAGGGGGGGGGGGGCACTTGAAATTTTCTAGGGGGCTGATATAACCCGCAAAATCTGAGTCCTCAGTCAAATTATGGCTTGTAAAAACTAAAGTTGTATCCATTTCATGAGAACCGTTAGGCCCACGGTCCTCACAACCTGAGTTTTGAATAAACCAATAGGAATTTTCCACGTCACCACACCAGCCTTGGATATGGCATTTTAAAACAAGCCTCAAGGGTACTACCTTCCTTCGCGCTAGCCTAAAACATTCATCTTGAATCATGTGAGATTGAACCATGCAGAATATAACTTTAAAATGCAATTACTGCCAGCTTCTTAATTTAGAGTTCCTATATTCAAGACATTAACCCTTCCCCAACCCTCCCCCTTCCCTACGAGTGACATTTTCGTATTCTATAAAAAGACGATGGTTCATTTTACGCTGGGAAAATACTTCATGCATGTATTATTGTATACAAAAGCTGGTTGTACAAAGCTTTCTCTTTAATCCCCCCCCCCCCCACTTATATAATATAATAAAGGTCTGACTCCAAAATTCAATAAAAAGGCAAGAAAACTTGAGATGGATTAAATTATTTCAAAGCTCAAGTTTAATCCGGAACATCTGTGTAAAATCTAGGCAGATAATCCACGATTTGTGTCAACGTTGTCAAATTCGATAGTCCTAAAAGCACGTCTGAAGCAGTGTAACAACGAGACATTGTGCTTTTGAACGTCATCAGCGGTCTGATTTGATCCGGCAGTCATTGTCTGACCCAAGGGTTCTAACACATCGATGTTTGATACTAGATCTCATAGCCCTAGTTGTTCTTATACTAGGTTTTGATGCAACTATTCGAGTGCGGGAATTGTGAAGATGAACATTTGAGTGTTAACAAATCAGAGGTGGCGGGGGGGGGGGGGGGGGGGGAGAGGGGGGGGGGGGAGGGGGGGGGAGAGGGGGGGGGGTCGTCAAGTATTTTGTAAAACACATTAGATGGTACACATTACTTTGATGGTGAGTTGTTCGAATTCTGAACCATTTACAGATAAGTGGGGCATGTTCGACTTATGAAGCAGCTTTAGATATGGAAAGAGTACATCATATTCGAGTCTTAACAAAAGGCTAGAGCTAGGCAACACTTCTTGATGTTGACTTCCGAAGCAGTTTTGATAGAAGCATGACAATAGTTTTTCGACTTCTGAAGCAGATACATACAGTGCTGTACCGTCTACTACACCTCATACATTTCGTGAACTACAACTGTTCACTTTCCAAAGCAGGCTATGATAGATGCAACACGTTGCATGACACTCGTTTTTGGACTTTTGAAGCAGATCCGCCAACTACACCTCATGCGTTTCGTGAACTACAACTGTTCGACTTCTGAAGCAGGCCCTGATAGTGTTGAACTTTACAACTACACCTCACTATCTCAACTATCAACAAACCAGAACACGTGATCAAGTGCGATACATACGACGTAATTAAACCTTCAAAACCTGAATCAGATAAGACAACAAAGCAAAAAAAAAAAAAACAACAATGAACTACGGGTAAAAGTATAGTATCTGTCGTAGGGAGTTTGTCGTCATTGAAGGATGGTCGTGGTGCTACCCCTACGGGAATGGGGGGGGGGGGGGGTTGGGGGGGGGGGGAAGAGGGGTAGTTGAAATTTTCGTGGGGCGGACGGGGGAGGACAGTGTTAAAAGTATATATTTTCTATATAAATTCCATTTCGTTCAGGGGGGGGGGGGGGTAGACTTTCTTCGTGGGTCAAGAAGAGATGCCTGGAAGAAACACTGAACGACGCCCTAGGAAACACACATCAAATGCTAACAATCTGATCTCGCTATGCCTTCTCTGATGGAATGTGTTTCGTCTATCATAAGCAAAACTCGCTGAGAGACACGTTAACCTGTGGGGAGAGGTAGGAGGGGGAAGGGGGTAGACTTTGATTTAATCCCGCAATCGGTACAATCGATGTACATGGGGAGATAAGCCGGGATAAAGCAAGGTTGAGTTGTGTTTTATAGACCTGACTCCCACTTCTAAGAGATCCTCTGCAACCCCCCCCCCCCCCCCACACACACACACCGTATCTCACTCCCCCTTGAAACTAAATATTGATGTCGCTTTATATCTTTAGCGTTTTAAATAAACTGTAGTCTAATGTTCGGAGAGTTATTGGAATAAACTATATCTAAATACATAGTAAAACAAATGTAATACCTTTTTAATAACTAACTTTTAAATGCATTGAAAAATTTAAAAAAAATTAACTAATCAACATTCTTGAATAAAAGCGTTGGTCGTTAAAGAGTCATGATATTTCTTATACATTTTTATGCCAAGCAGGTTGTTGATTAAAACATTGATAAGTTTATCTTTATTGTTGATTCAAGATTTTACAATTAATGATAACAAACAGTGTGAACATATTTTCTCAGTTTCATAGATAGTGTCAAGGTTATTACGATAGTGGCATATTTATAGAAAGTTGTTTTACTTCTAACGATAAAATTGCGCGGTCTGTTTAGTTTTGCGGCCAACTTTACTTAAGAATTGTTTGCTTTTAAAAAAAATTTAAATATGCCTATTCCTTTACTAGGAGTTTCTTTCTTTTATTTATCGAAACCTGTCTAATAGAAAAATAGAAAAACTACATCAGAATAAACACATTTTATATAGTACAACACATCAACACTGTTGGTAACGTAACTAGTCATTAGTCTTAAGTTTCAAGGACAGCAATATTTCAAACTTTTTCTGCAATTAAGTTCACATGAGTTCAACGTTATGTAAAGTTCTGGAACATGAGTTCTAAAATGTATTTAAAGTTCTGGAACATGAGTTCTAGAAAAGTTCTGGAACACGAGTTCTAAAATTTATGTAAAGTTCTGGAACATGAGTTCTAAAATTTATGTAAAGTTCTGGAACATGAGTTCTAAAATTTATGTAAAGTTCTGGAACATGAGTTCTAAAATTTATGTAAAGTTCTGGAACATGAGTTCTAAAATTTATGTAAAGTTCTGGAACATGAGTTCTAAAATTTATGTAAAGTTCTGGAACATGAATTCTAAAAAAGTTCTGTGACACGAGTTCTAAACTTGATGTCAAGTCCTGAGACTTGAAGCGCACCAATTGATCACAAAGTTTATGACAGTAAAGTTCTGTGACCTGTGTGCTACAAGCGTGTTCCACACACCACCAGTTCACTGCGCTGGCACATTTTCGTCTTCACGTCAAAGAGAGTTCCCAGCGGGCAGCGGACGTCACTGATGACAGCAAAGTTGGAGCAGATGATGAAACTGTTGCACTTCAATGGGTTCTGGGTGAGGCCATCTTTAACATCACAACGAGGCTGGAAAGCGGGTTTTGTTGACGGAGCTGATGTGGGTTCTGGAGTGGAGGATGCAGAGGAAGGTGTCTGGGGCAGCACGGTGGAGGAGGATTTGGTGGAAGCTGACTGGGGAGATGCTGAGGTCGTCGTCGGTGAAGTGGCTGGTGTTTTAGAAGACACCGTGGAGGCAGTTGCGAGTGCTGCTGTGGATGCTGAGCTTGTCTTGCTAGAGGTCGGTGTAGTGGATGTGGATGCTGAGCTTGCCTTGCTAGAGGTCGGTGTTGTGGATATGGATGCTGAGCTTGTCTTGCTAGATGGTGTATTGGATGAGGAAGTAGTATCAGGAATTGACGCCTTGCCTAAGAAAAACATTCACAATCAGTCAGTCAGAATCAATGATTATATATTGTAGTAATTTTAATAAAGTAAAAAACGAATATGGTAATTTCAGAAAAGGGTAGGCCCAGTGGCGTAGCGAGGTCGGGTGTCACCCGGTGCGGCACTTAATGGTGTCACCCCCCCCCCTAGAGGGCGTTGCGACCCTTTCCGGGGACAAACTTTCTAGTTTTCGATTTGCATCCCCCCCCCCCTCAAACTTTCGATTTGCACCCCCCCCCCCTCAAACTTTCGATTTGCACCCCCCCTCAAGTTTTTCTCTATATATTTTGCTATTTTTTGCCTTGGTGTCACCCCCCCCCCCCCTAAATGGTGTCACCCGGTGCGGTCCGCACCCCCCGCACCCCCCTCGCTACGCCCTGGGTAGGCCTATGACGTCCTTTTAAGGAGGAAAAGATGACTTATGTGACGAAGTATAGCAAAGGGGAAATGTCGACGTCATTTATGAAAGACTTTTTTGAAGATTAAAAAAAAACATCTCTCTTAACTCGTTCTACGCCACATTCTTAAAATAAACTTTAACCTATCGCGTTATTGGTTACGGTGTATCCAAATGCCCAGCCGTGACAAAACAATGGCCCACAACACAATATGACGGGACT